TGAAGCGTACAATAGTTAAGTTACGTCATACGAGAATCATGAATGATGTTGATAGGTGATGAATACGGAACTTATAAAAACAACATTAACATAATCTTTGGTAAAAACCTAACAAAGAACATAAACATTTTTATATATAAGTAAGTTAACTATCAGATTAGAAAAAAAACAATAACGTCAAAACAAAAAACAATCGGATTTCTTTAAAAAGACTATCAAGTCTCAAGTATCAAGAAATTCTGCCTACCTTTAATTGAGTTAATAAAAGCAATGAATAGTAAACACGCAATGTTTCTAGAGAGTTTTGAAATTCCCAGATCGTCAGTTAAAATCAAACATTTGCCAACACCCGCATCAGCGATAGCAAATTATTACGTCACACATCGCAATAAAATGCATTTGCGGAAATACTGGCGTGTGATAAAATATTAGAAATCAAACAATACACAAAACAAACATCACTCACATAACTTGTTAGTGTTTGTTTTAAAAATTATCTTTTAATCTCCAGATAGACCTCATATCAATACCAAGACGATAACAAAAACTTAGTAATTTTAGCGATCTCGAGACATTAATATTTTCTATATTAATTCAAGCAACTATAGTAGTAATTGCGGTGTTTTGCATTTTTCAACAATTTGAATGTTTACGTGAAATAGAAAGTATGCATATAAATGAATAGAGTATGCGTATTACGAATCTCACAGCTTTGTTACTAACCAGATATTTAAGATGTAACACTGTCGGCCTTACCTATAAACGCGATATAAAGTTAAACTTAGGAATGAACTGAGTATAAGGAAAATTTGTACATATATTTGTACGTATATGTTTAAAATGATACGTGAAAAAAATTCGGCGTTTTTGTATGAACATTCTTGACTACCCTTCTGGATGACGATCGTATTTTGTTAATTCCGTTAATGACTTCATTCTTGCAAAGATGTCCAAAGTTATCATATATTTGTTTTCGTAACTTACTAGCTTTTGATCGCGAATTCAAAAACACAACCTACATATGTTACTCAGTGATAACATAGGTTTTTAATAGTGCAAAAATATTTAAAATCCGCCCTGTAGTTTTTGAGGTATTTCGATAATTACAAAAATACAAATCTTTCCTCTTTATAATATTAGTATAGATTAGCTTTTGCCCGCGACTCCGTCCATGTGGTATTCAAAAAAACAAATCTAAGTACCCTATGTGTTCTTCCAGAATATCCTCTACGTCTATACCAAATTTTATAGAAATCCGTTCAGCCGTTTAGGCTACAAACTCTAACAAACATCCATACATCTAAACTTTCGCAGTTATAACATTATTATGATAGAAAGAGGCACAAAAAACTATCCTAAGTATTCATATTCCATTAAAACATGATGTTTTTTTCTTTATCGATGTTACGCGAGGCGAGACAGTCGAGTTATGTTTACACCAATTACGTGCAGGATCTCACACGACAAAGGTCGTCCGTGAATCCGGCTCGTGAGGTCATATTGACGGGTTCCGATCTTTACGAGTTTTTTTTTTAATAATTCCATTACGTAGGGGGTAATGACTCTTGTATAGCAACTCAAATAGACGAACATTATAATTAAAAATGTCTACCTGGATGAATCTATGAAACGATAGATTTATCAAAGTTTTTTTTTATTTTATTACTTTTATGGTTAATTCAAACTTTAAAAAAAAATTGTTAAATTGACTATGAAACAGTTTTAAGTAATACTTATTAAACTGTTAAAACATGTATATATATAAAATCGTCAACTATTCAGAATTATTACACCATAAAATAGTTACTCAGCTAGGCTTACAAAATCGAAACCTCAAAATAACAAATCGACAGTGAATAGTTTATTTCGTATAAAATCAGTATTTTTCTTTAATAATTAGTCTAGATTTAAATCAAGAAATACAAATCTTTTCTCTTTATAATACTAAATCTATAGATATGTAAATATAAATGTTAGACGAATTAAAATTAAGAAACAAACCAGTTGTTGAGCCTTTGACCCCAAGCGTTTTATTATCCGAGACTACAATGGAAAAATCGGAATAATTTTCATAAACATTTTGAGTTATAAATACTTTATTTTAAAACAGTTCCTATAAAATTTTAAAACACAAATTGATTTCTAACTTTGGAACAATATCGCTCTGCTCGCTTGGAACATTTTTATTTTATTTTTAGTAGAAATTCGATTTTTATAGACGACTCATTGATATAAATTAAAAATAAAAACCGTATCTAAATACAAAATTTCATCAGAATTGATTAGAGCTATTTTCTAGATTAGTCGATGTAGAATTTTTTGTACTAAAAAACATTTTTCTTACAAACTTCTCAATTTCAATTCAGTCTATTTCGTTGATCTTTAAAAAGTCATTCAATTATGTCACTTGACTAGCTGTTACCGTACGGCTTCTTCCGCATGAAATTATAAAAACTTTATTTTATCGTTTACATTTGTCAAATTCTTAAATAAATGTCAAAATTACCGTTACCATAATAACCTAGCTTCCGTAATGTTGGCAGATTATAGTTTTTGGTTCCATTCCCATATAAAGGTTTTTCCAATTTATTTACCCCCTAGGTTTAATAGCGTGAAAGTATATAGCCTAAAGCGTGACATAAGTGTAGTGGGCTTTTTATTAAATAATGAATTATTCAAAAACATGCTGTAAAGAAGTGTGTGTTTACGCCTTATTTTAATAGTATATATAGACATATAGAAGTATGGATGAAGAGCATTAGTGTGACATTTAAGGTCAAATTTACAATTAAAATGTCTGATATATGAATGATATGTTATGATCCAATCTGAAATGTATTTAATTTTTAAACTTACATGACATTTGGGATCAATTAAAATAATAGGTTAGATTTTTAATATATTTAAATACACTTATAAATTTATTTATGTACCATCCATAAAAGAAGCCATGTCAGTCAAATATAGCCCTCAATAATATTCATGTATATGTTCTAATTGACTTAATATGAAGATAACCTTCTGTGCATTCTAAATTATAAAGTGAATTGATTACGATGTAGGTTCAATCTTAATTGTGAGATGTTTCTTTTTTTTAAGTTAATATTCTCTTGGGACTAGTAGACACAGATACGACTTTGTTTCCGTAATGCAATATATGTACAATTTAATTGGTCATATCTAACGCTGAATTCCCATTCCCCTATCTTTTTTGCCGAAATATATGTTGTCTCTATTTTTTCAAAAATGACAAAAGGGACGGGAATATGTTACAATTGCAAGTGATAACCTACACTAAAAAAATACATGTAGCAAGCTTAGAAATGAAAGTGGACTGAATTGCTTCGCTGTACGTGACTGTAATAGATAATTTAAAAGGGTAATCATTATGTTGGGCAAGGTTAAATGTTGAAGTACCATGTAAATTGATAAGAGATTTCTGTATGATGTATACGTAATATATTTTTATTTAAGAATATAACTTAATTAGATTTATAGCTTTTTGTACGGCAGTCGTGAAGAAATACAAAAAAACGTCAGAAAAATCCTAAAAACACGCAAGAATAGGGTTTAAAATTATATGCATGTTTTTAACACTATTTTACTTGCCCAACCTAAATAGTTCTAGCGTTTTATATAGCATGCTAAATAAAAAAAAAACAAGCTTACTGTCCGGTCATGTGAAAGTGGAAGGTTGACATTGCGAATGTCGAGGCTTACGTGTTACTGCACCCCAAGGATATCTGAAACTGACGGTATTGCAATTACTAACTGGCCACCGATTAAATAAGAACGGTGTTCGTAACTATATTTTAACTATGGTTAATTCGTAAATTAAATTTCCAATAAGTATGTTCACTTTGTATTTTCCGATGTTTAACATCGAAAAATACAAAGTTTTTGATGTACCCACAATCAATTCTTTAGTCACTGTGACTTGAATTATAAAATCTATCATTAGACGACAAAGATAGTTCAGATAATTTTTTAATGACATTGTTAGTAATTTTTTTTATTGGTTGTACTAAATATAATATACTTTTGTGAGCAGAGTCAATGACATAAGTTGAGTTAGAAAGTATGTGTAACCGGTGCCCGCTATATGAGATCTCCGATAAAAACGAAAGCTTGTCTATGATACACTTGTGGTTTGACTTCCGTACTTCCTTATGGCACGCCATAAACAATGAACAATGTCAAATGATTAGCAATCAAGATGTTAACGGCTAGATGAAAAGAGATCTTAATTTTTGTATAATTGTATCATATACACTCATTAACAATAGATTGTTACAACATAAAAAAGTTACAATATAAAAAAGTTGCAATCAAACAAAAGAAATATAAAAATTGCGACAACTTGTATGGAAATTTATAGCAGAAAAAACTTTTTCGCCATTTTACTATCGTTATCTTTTCAATATGGAATAAAGGATACGTTTTTGTAATAAATAACAGAATCATTTCCTTCCTTTGTCATTGAACTTCCAAGTTAATATGTAGAATCAATAATTTATAGAAATGAACTAGGAATTCTCGCCAAGGTATTCCAAGAATACGCGACAACTAGTTTTTATAGCGTTGGGTCAATAGTTAAGAATCAAAGCTTATAAATTCATTAAATTATCTATCGAGATATCCTAATTCCTAATGGAATCCAAGAATCCTAATGGATTCATAGATTATCGAATAGATCTCTCGATATAGTCTATGTTCGTCACAGAGATTCAAAACATATATAGAGGAAGCATAGTGACACTTCACTCATGATCCTCACTAACGCTATTTATAATCTTCAAAACCACATGTCAATATAATTAATTGTAAAATGTCTTATAACATGTCAATACAATGATTTGAGGTGGCATACTAAACTTGACAACTAACATAGTACCTTTCAAAGAAGTTACCGGTGATAAATATTCACTATGTCTACTCTATATATTTCTTAAATGCCTTTGATGTTCGTCTACATTTTAACACGTATTACCTTTTTACAGATACCATAGTAGTGTCTTACTATTGGCTGTTACGTGTGCGGTATCGTTAGCACAGAAGAGCAGAATAGAAGACACGAATATACAAGCGGTGCCCAGCGACCTGCGGCGAGCGGTTAGCGAGGCGTTAGCCTTAGAGAGGAGGTTCCACTTGGGCGCTAACGATGCGTAAGTTAAAAACTTTAACTACCCTACTTAAGTCCTTCAGCATTAAATATTCCTTATGGTAGATTTCTCATACTAAATCCTTTAATGACTGATTAACCGTTCTGAGAGCGGTAAAATGTAGGATATTTTTAATATAGTTTATTTTAAATCAACCTTAATTTTAAATTAGTTCGAATTTTTAATGAAACATTAGTTTGAAGCTGGTAACAATTTGTTAGATTGTCATTTTTTATATTATTATTTAGGAGGTATTTTAGAATTGGTGGGGCATTTGTCAGTATTTCTAATTATTTATAAAAAACGCACATAGTATAACTCTTACTAACATCATCCATAACAACATCTCTGCTCAAAAGCATAAGTTATTTTGATTGTAAAGAATTTCATGTTCATTACAATTGACACAACCCTATAAAGTGTAAACATATCTAACCCGACTTGTTTCGTTCAAAAATCTTCCTTTACCTACGTTGCCTAAAATTTTAATCGGCTAAAGCATGTAAAGAAGATTGGTGTATTTAAAATTGCATTTTTATTGCTTGTTCTTTATTGCTTAAGTTAGCTTAACAATAAAGGGAAACAAAGGAACGTTAATGTATATTTTTCGCAGGCATAATTGTACATCAGAATATGAAGATATTAGTACGACTCCTTGCCCGCCCAGCAAGTACCGCAGCGCTAGCGGGGAGTGCAATAATGTTAGACACAGGCCATGGGGACGACGAGGAGATGTCTTCCTGAGGTTGTTACCTCCAAACTATGCTGATGGTAAGTGACAGCAACTAGGATATAGGCAATCGCAACACACACATCACTATTTCAAAACAGACACTATGGAAGGAATAATACTATAAGTGAATATAAATTTTAACATCATTGTAGATTTTGGAACACCTAGCTATAAGTTGTGGTTAAAAAGAATAACGCAAGCATTTGTTTTCAGTCCAGGAATTATGAATATTGTTATAACATTCGAATCGTAATTTTATGACCTTGCCATGATTATTTATGCAGACAGTAATTGCAGTGATCAGTAGATTTTAAACTTGAAAATATTTATGTTGTCACATAACTTCAATCTTTAATAACATGGCAACAGATTAAACAAATAAAGCTTATCTCATTTTATATCGCACTTGAGTGTGTTACGTAAATACGGATGTATTCGGACGTGTGTTTTTTAATAAATAAGGATTAGCTAAAGCGCTTCTGTTGTTTTTTAACGTTGGCACTGTCAACTGAATTTGTAAACATTTTTTAACACAAGTTCCGTGTTAATTTGAGATAAACTGAAAATTTATTACTCTATAATATTTATAATTATTTTAAATTCGATTTTTAAGAGATATTCGGTATCAATATTTTAAAGAAGCATAATGTTACAATTAATTTGGTGTGCACTCGACCATCACTTGTTCACTAAGTTAAATTGAGCCCTAATTGTTTTCTGCACTTAACACTTAATAATACAGGAACTGTTCATTACTAAAGCGCCTGTATTAACTGTTAAGACATTATCTAAATGCAACCACGTATTTTTAAAGCTCACAAAATGTCAAAAGCCAATGTTTAGATTAAGCAAAGTGAACATCGAAGATATTTTAGATTAGTAAAGGTTGAATGGTTGAGTCAAAAACACGTGATGCGGTAAAGTTGTTTAATAAAATTTACATAATTATGATGTAGTAGTTACCATTTAAGTCAGAGTCCATAAAATCTTGAATTCAATTCGAAATTAGAATAACTGCCATCAGACTCGTAAAGCATAATGTTAGAAGTACTCTACTGTAACTATATTATATTAAAGTACACAAATTATACCCCTCGTGTTCTTATCTACATATAATTAGACAAAAACAACAAAACTGACTCTGAATAGTCAAATATGTTCTTACTCCACCTCACACTACTTCTAAATGCCCACTAAGAGTAACCACGCTAAGTATCATCATCATCAGCTCACTATAAGTCCCCAATAAGGGGCTCGGAGCCTACCCTAAGAAAAGAGTAACTAGGCCATAGACAACCACGCTCGCCCACTGCGGAATGGTCGACTTTAAACATTTGTTTGAATTTCTTCGCGGACATGTCCAGGCATAACGACATTTTCCTTCGTCATAAGAACGTCGGGTAAATTATGTACATATGAAATTCAAAAATCACATTGGTATATGCCGTGATTCAAACCCAAGACCTGTAAATTACAAGTCAAGTGCTTAAACCCCTGAGCCACCGACGCTTTAAGTATAATGCTCTAATATTTATGTTTTTTCCCAGGTGTATCTCTCCCGCTATCCTCACCTCACTTACCAGAGCCCACGCTAGCCGTGCAAGCAGCCGCACAGCTAACAGAGCCAGCTGAACATGATTACGTCACCAGCATGCTGGCCGCCTGGGGACAGTTCATCATGGACGATCTCATCGCGACCGCCAATGGGAACAAGGTAAACACATACACAATATAGCAGATTCCAAAAGTCCAAGTAAACCCCTAAGGTTTATAAAGATCTGACAAGGGTGTACAATGGAGGGAAGTAAATTTGAGGAATAATAAGTTTAAGAACAAATTTTGAATGAGAAATAATATCACAGTCAATTATCGATAAAAAAATTATATATGGAAATAGTTTTATGATGCAAAAGACGCCTTCGATTGTTTGTGCTCGTAGTACCATGTAGTTTCCTTTGCGGAAGGCATAAAGTTAGCTCATGGTTGTCGTAATTAGTGCAGCTAACAAAGGAATGTTTTACAATGTTTTTTAACTGTATCTTTCACAAACAAATCATATAATGAAGTTACTTAATTTACTGGAGATTTTCGATATTACTTTATGCAATTTCAATGCGCACATTTGTATATTTCAAGAATAATTTTATCACATAAAACATTTTTTTTCACATTCAATACCAACATTGGGAATCCTTCAAAAGTTTCATCATGTTAACCTTGCTTTACTTACTATGATCTACTTTTACTTTTATGTTAACTCGTCAAAAAGTTGTGATGGTTCAAGCTCGATAAAAATATACGTAAAGGGTTAATAACAAAATTGCACTCGAATGTACGCTATTCATGTAATCTTTCGTGCCTTTAGGCGGAATTGGCATCGTATCTCTTAAAATCAGTGTTCATGGTCTTAAGGGGTATATTAAATTTAAATAGCCAGGCTAATCAAACGCCTTGGCCTATGTCGCGCATCACACGTCACGGTGCTAAGGCCAGCGGATGCTACACCAAGAGTACACATTGTATGTCGCAATGCACAATACCATCGTAATCATGCATCTAATGATGCGATCGTTCCGAATCGCCTAATCACTTGAACTTGACCGAGACACGATTTAGTAAGACATATCAGCACATATTTTATGACCTTCATATTTTAATACATACCATGCATTTTAGTACACTAAAGCCTTTCAATATCAATTACAATCCGAATGTATTTCAAACAGGATTTATTTACTTTTGCGAACTTCTTTCTCAATTAGTGTACTTTTTAATCTGTAAAATTATTTAAACAATACATGACTGTACTAATATAATAATTTTGATAAATACAAGTCTTAATTAAGCTACAAATAAAAGTTACTTTAAAAACAGTGTTTATATTTCTAATAACAAACGCAAGTTCTGTAAAGTTTAAATAGAGACTCGTTCAAGTCTGTACTAATACAGGGCTTCAAAGAAAGACGCAAAGCTCTCAAAAGACGGTGAAAGCGATGACGTAACAGGCAATCTCTTCCTTGTAGACAAGTTCTCAGGTCATATGATTCGATCTGGTTTATACATCCTTGCACCAGGAAGGCTATATGAACAAATTTGCAAAACATCATTTCACTTCTTCCTTGTAGGAAGTTTAATTTTAATTTGCAGTTTTTATTATTTAAAATCGATAAGTTAACGATGTTATAGTTAATTTTAAAATAATTAAAAACTAAATTAAATTTGTCCTGTACTGATTTTTCAATTTGTTATATAAAAGCTTTAACGACGTAAATAAGATAAAGATCAAAATGTTTATTTCAGAAAATATAATTTGCATCAATTTGTTATATTAATAATATTAAATTACAATTTATCCTAAAATATCGAAACTAAACTTTTATATACTATAAAAAAAAACAGTTTTATATAAAAAAATAATAAGCTTTAAAAATCAGAATGTTCTAGGAGGTTTTCCGTCTCAATAACTGTATTTAGTTTTAACGTTAAGTTTATGTTAAGATGCATCAATACCGTATTGTAACTTGTGAGTATAAATAAAATACCCATGTCAAGGTCTTAAGAACTTCATTGTATACTATCTGTATACGTTTAACGGATACTTATTGTATTCTTGTGATTTTAAATGTCAGAACGTTTACCTTGTAGATGATCTCTTACATTTTTTTATTAAAATAGGATGAAATAATAAAATCTATGATAGATTTATTCTAAGTAAGGGAACCTGCTCTAAGTAAGGGATGACTAGGCAATAATCAAGCACGCCGGCCAAGTGCCGGTTAACTTCACAAATATACTTTGAATGTCTTCGCCGATATGTGCAGTTGCATCACAATATTTTCCTTCACCGTAAGAACTTTGGGTACATATGAAATTCGTAATTCGAAAATAACATTGGTACATGCCGGGATTCGAACCAAAACCTGTAGATTACAAATCAAGTGCTTAAACCACTAACCCACCGACGCTCTTAATAAAATATGCACCCAGTATATCTAGAATCACATCGCTTTAGTTTAAAATGAAAATGTTTTACTTATAGAAAATCTGCTGTCAATCATCATTAAATAAACCATTAAATTATTTGACACCTTTATCATTAATTTTGAATAAAATTAATACCTAAAGTAATGATGACGTGTTACACAATAGCGTACGGAATTACGGACGCACAAGTTACGTATGCGGTTCGAGCGAGCCCGGTGAAAGTTATTCGTATGACATTTCATAGCCATTGTTAGTCCGTTACTTAAGAGATTATAGTATACGATGGGGAATTCTTGTTACCAACCCATACTTATATATGTGATGTAAATTTCATTTCAAATATAACACGACTGATATTAGATCCCTTGACCAAAATAGACAGAATTGGAGTTTAACCCACCCGCGGCTGTAGTACCTTAGATGATGATGATTAGATCCCTTGACTCGCGAAACTTACTGTCCCAATCAGAGCCCTTAATGGACTTTAATATACTAGCTGTTGCTCGCGATTTCGTCCGCGTAAAATTAAAAAATATAGCCTATGTTACTCACAGATAAATTACCTTTCTAAAGGTGAAAGAATTTTTAAAATCAGCCCAGTAGTTTTTGAGTTTTTCAATACATGTAAAAATAAAAATCTTTCCTCCTTATAATATTAGTATACAAGAATCTCTACTAAGGATTCACCTCAATTTAAATTTTAGGCTAAAAGTGCGGGAGTTAATATTATTCATAGTAGTTAATATGTTTTGTGTTAAAATATGTGTTAGAATATACTTTCTTTTGTTTAGAAATGCGAATCGTCGTCGTGCGAATATGTGCGCTCAGCTCCGACCAGGAATCTAGACTCGTGCGGTTTCGGTAAGTTGAATTTATTAACGCTAAAACAAGGCAACATAAAGCTCAAAAGATACTACCCTAAAGGTACTTCTGCTGATGAAGGAAAGATGTAATTTAGAATAAATAAGATCTAAAATATACTAAGTTGAGAAAAGCTTATTTATAATTATAATTACTGAAGTTGATTTTACTATTTAATATTTTTTTAATACCGTAAATAGTGGTATCTAAACTAATACGATAAAGTATTACTTAAGATCTCAGGGTAACGTGTTCGCTTTTCTTTGTTATACTTCAAATATCAATTTCGTGATTTGTACGTCCGTGTTATTACTTGTCATTTTTAGCTTAAAAGAAAGTGTACCTTCACATGATAGCTATCTATCGAAAGCCAATTGTTACGAATAATGACTTTCAGTATCCCAAGTCTATAACGACCGATTTCTTTACTAACTTCACTTTGTACTATCCATCTTAATTAATAATTTTAACAACTCACGCAATAACAATTAAAAAAAACTAAACACACTTTATTGCGCCTAAAATTACCTTATCTAACTTTCCAAATTCTTAATCTAATGAAATTATGTTAATTTTTGTGAAAGATTATTGTAAACTAGCTTTCGCCCGCGACTCCGTTGGCGTGGAATTAAAAAAAGCAAAAGTGAGTAGTCCATGTGTTCTTCCAGACTATCCTCTACTTCTATACCAAATTTCATCGAGATCCGTTCAGCCGTTTAGGCTACAAACTCTAACAAATATCCATCCATCTATCTAAACTTTCGCATTTATAAAATTAGTAAGATAAGATTAACACCGACAGAAGACCATATTTCTTACGTCATTAATCGTTGATTTGTTTAAATATTTGTATAACTCTTCCTTCATATATTTTCTTGCAAAACTGTCCTTCAGTTATCCCAGTGGTTCATAGACCGTAACAAATTGGTATACCTAAATATAAATTTGATACTATAAAAACAATGCCGCACCTGCGTACAAAATCACGTGCTTCGAGTGAACGCAAAGTAGTTTGAAAGGTTGCATCCGAACACTGTATGGTATAATTTAATAAATGCAAGCGATTTCCATTCTTACTCACCTCTGTTACAAACTATGTTTGCGTGTATTCACCTAAATAGATATCAAGTTTAACCTCACCATAAGTAAGGAAGTAATGTCAAGTTTTAAACTGGTTTAGATTATGTTATTAATAAATGACAAAAAATTGTGCATAAGACTATGCTTGACGTAATATTTAAAGCTTTAAATCATTTTAATATTTCCCAGCTACTAAAACATTTAAAAGGCCGTACCTACATAATCATTTAAAAGATTTATAAATAAAACAAATGCAAAAAGTAATAACTACATAAGGATGATGTGGAAATTAAAATAAGTTTAACTTTTAATTTATTGACGTCAATAATAAATTGTAAATGTGTTGTCACTTATAATTTAGTATCTTACTTTGTTTTAATTACATCGGCGTAATTAAAAAAACGTTTATTATTTTTAATTCAAATTACAAATAGATACGCATTAATTTTTATAAATTAACAACATCTTTTAATTACGAATGCATGGAACTATTGAAAAAAAGGTTATCTGTCAGCAATAATTTACAATAAAATAAAAATATTAAATCGTAATTAAATTAGTGTCTAGAGTCTAAGAATAAAAAAATAACAACAGAATTGGCCGCCAGGGGACAGTACTTCGCTTAATTGGTATTACAATTTTATTTTTTTGTTAAAATGGTAGTAGATTTTTGTTAGTTTACTAATATTACCTTTAACAATTCCAAATAAGCTCTATACTTTTGCTAGGATATGGTTCACGACAATAGTCGAATGGCGGGACTCAAATCCTCGACCGCAAGATGGGTAGTCCGTACCCCAAACCATTAGGGTATTGGCGCTTATTATTTTTTATAATTATTTATCTTATTTTAATATGACACTAAAACTAACCGAATGACCTTATTACTAAGACTTAGATGGCTTTAAACAATAATTTTATTTCTTACAGAGGTGCGAGAACAAATGAATATGGCAACAGCATTCCTCGATGGTTCAGCGCTATACGGCAGCTCGGAGAAGGAACTTCTTTCCTTGAGGCTATATGATGCTGGAAAACTAGACTTAGGAGCATGTCGCAAGTAAGTACAACCATTAAAGTTAGGTGAATAGACTAAAATAAGTAAGAATAAGTTTTAAATATATGCATGAAGTTATGTCATTTCTGGTTAAGTCTAAAGCCTCGTCTCTTCTTATTTGCCGTCTTTATTTCCTTTTCTTTAACTCAAATAACGCAGTAAAGTTGTACGAATCATTGCTTTCTTAGTAACGTTAGTGTACATTTGTATAGACGAACACATTATCTTGATTGTGTTTAAATTTCTTGTCAAATTATGTAGTTAATTCGATGGAAATTCCATGTCCCAGTCATCAAAGGTATTTTATTTATTTTTGTTTTCAATAAATCTTAGTTGCAATTAAAGTCTGATAATGTAGTATGTGAACATATCCCACGTATCTGTGCCGAGCATTCAGTCGAGCCTCGACAATTGTTTACACTCAAGGTTCTTCATTATACGCTAATAAATTATTTAATTAAGCATTAACTCAATTACCGCTATTATTTGTACAGACAACTTTACAAGTCCTTGTTTTTATATAAAGAACTGATGGTAACTTCGATTGATTAGTAACCAATAAAAAATGCATATTAGTTATTATTAGATAGTTATAATTTACTAAATAAGGCACATTGGAAAGGCTTTTTTTAATTACTTTGGAAATAAATATAGTAAAATAGTTATTTAAATAGTAAAATCGTAATACAATCATAATTAGAGATAATAAAAGACAAAAAATTATACTACTTTTACTCAAATACTGACCTTGGCACCTAAAATAAAGATTCGTGACTCTAGACTGGACGGTAGATTAACCACGCTCTAGACATGAAATTTAGTTGAACATGAGCGTAGATATCAACAAGTAAACACTCAAATCTTATACTTGAAGTATTCAACTGTGATTTTATTTCATAAATATAGTGCATACAATCTCATAAAGGTTTAGACCCGGCGCACACCTTTGACTAAATTATCGCACAACAGTTTGCGATTGTCGATTGTTTCGCCGCCAACTCAACTATAATCGTTTACAGAATACACTAAGTATGTGTCTAGTAAAATAATAGAACAATATATTTCATGTAGATTAGAAAGCACTTTGCGAATTACATCATTGGAATGATATTTGTTTTTACGTAATAGATATTTACATAAAACTACATACATGGCGCACTTATATACCACACTTGTATAGTACTAAATAGTTGGTTTCCATTGCCAAACTACCTGTACTTAACAATGATTTCATCTCGCTCATTTTCGTTGAAAAACATAGAGACAATAATATATTTTTTTCAAGTGTCTCGAGTGGTACAACGATATGTTTTTCTTTACATTTCTTTGACTTTAACCTATTTAATTCAGATGCAACGACGGCACACCTACCGCGCCTCTATACAAAGCTCTATTCTCCGAACACAATCGTATCGCAGGGGAGCTCTACGCAATGAACCCATTCTGGGATGACGTCACACTGTTCCTCGAGACCAGACGTGCTATGGCAGCCATGATACAGCATATAACATACAATGAGTTCCTGCCAGTGTTGTTAGGCGAAGTAAGTATATTACAAAACTACGAATTAATAAATATCTAGTTTAATAATAATTCTTACCTCTTACCCTTACTAATATAAATGCGAAAGTTTAGATAGATGGATATTTGTATAAGTTTTTTTTTTTATAACATAAGGTGGCAAACGAGCAAGCGGCCACTTGAATCCGCCAAAATGGCGAAGCGACCGCTGCCCATAGACATCCGCAATTGCAGATGCGTTGCCTACCCTTATACGACGAAGGAGGAGACCCACATAAAGAGGATATTTCCCCTTCCTATACATCTCCTCCACCGTCAAATCCACTTCCCCTTCCCATCCTCTCCTTATAAGGAAAGGGTGATAAAGAGAAAGGGACTTAAATTAGGCCTCCGGCACCACACTCATCAGACGAAACACGGAATTGCTTCCATTTCACGCCTGTC